AAAACTGTGATATCAATAAAAATACTTATTAACACAGTCAGTAGGCACCACAATCCAAATTCGGCAGTCGAACCCTCAAAAGAATGTTTGGTCTGCCACCACTTATAGGACATCAGCACATATGCATCTATCCATCCACCAATTCGTCCATCCATCTATCATTCATCATCTATCCATCCACCCATCCATCAGTCCACCCATATGTCCACCATCCATTCATCCTCCATCTATCCGTCCATCCATCTATCCAACCAACCATCCAATCAATATTTGTGGAATATCTGTTCCCAGTATGTGTGAGGCACAGGGAATTCAGAAATGAAGTCATGAGAATCTTGCTCTTAGGAGCTACATTTTAGAGGAAGAATAGATGCAAAACAGACAAATTACAATTCAATGCAAAAATGACAAAAATGGAGGGAAAGCCAAGTTGCAATGAAGCTCAGAAGAGGGGGGCCTAAGAGCTCCTGGGAAAGTGAAGACTTCACACGCAAGAGAAAACCCCTAAGATGACTCTGGAAGGAAGAATAGTGAATTTATCAGGCAGAGAAGGGAATGGTGCTTGTAAGGTGTCAATGAGGTCAGGCAAGGTTGTGTACTAGTAAGTTGCAGAGTTAGGGTTCAACCCAGGCTAATGTAGGGGAGGCAAAGACTATAACCACGTGACAAAGCCTCCAAAGAATAAGGGGAAAGAATTAGGATATTGATAGATGACAGTTGACAAGGAGGGGTGGACCACAGGCACGGCCCACCTGGATGTAGAAGCTTCAAGGAGGTAGTTTCTTTACAGGGTAGATAATGGTCCTGACAGTAGCAATGGTGACTAGGAGCAAGGGGTACCCCACTTTCTGGCCTGTTGTGAACAAGCCTCCTCCTCAAAAGGGTGCAAGCAAAGGCTGTGCTTTTTGGGCAGTGGTCAAGGAATGACAGGACGTGGACCAAGTCATAGCAAAATCGATTTTCTGGACTGGACCAAGTCATGAACAGCACTTTGCAAGGTGGCTGGCTACAGTTGTGCTCTTCACTCATGTCGGATGTGGTAATTCTGCTTCGACCCAAGTAGGAAAAATGGTGTCTGAAGGTGAGACAGGCCAGATTTTTTCAAACTCTGGAAAATATTGGAACACCCCAGCATCTGTCTTACAGGGTCTGGCAAGAGGGTAGTGGGGGCAGAGAGGGGGTCCTGGGATGAGCAGTCAGCCGTGTTGAAGCAGACCTGCCTTGTGGTCATTAGAGTAATCTTTTCCAAAGCCCAATCAGCTCACATAATCCCTCTGCTTCAGACCCCACAACTTGCATTTAGGAATAAAGGCCCCTCGCTGTCATAGAACACAGGCTAATCTTAAAGACAACATCAGTAAGACAACATCTCAGGGCTATGCTAGATGCCATACTCCTCCTCCGTCTCCTGGACGGTGATCTCTGGTGGTCAGTCAGAAGGAGCGACTCCAAGGCCCCTGTAGGCTGCCTAAGCAATAGTCAACTTCTTCCTCATTGAAGCAGAACAGTCAACTCAGACTTACAAGAAAACCTTTCAAAATCCCCTTTTTTGGTTAGGTTCAGGGTAGTCCACGTCAGATGAAGTCAGTCACTGGAACCATGTCTACTGGCTTCTCCTCATCTCACTCAGGTTCCTGGTTTCTCAGACCCAAATCCATTCTCAGGGTGGGCCTGTGGGTCCAGAAACCAATTCGCAAACATTCCTAGGGGAGCACCCCCGGCTCCCGAATGGCAGAGACCAGATGTAACATAGCTCTGACAACCAGGCTTGGCCTACCTATGGGAATCCAGCTGTTGCCAGTGGGTCTGTGGGTGGTCCTAAAACACGCCAGCCTTCATATGTCATGTGGACAACTCGCCGCCCACTTTCAGGTGTTTCCTTAATGGTAGGATGAGTTACAGAGAACCAGCCACTCTTTCACACGATGCCCCTATAGGCCACAGTCCAGTTTCTAGCTGGAGACTCTGACGACCAGAGACCTCTTCTGCCTACAGCACTGTCCTAGGCCTTGTCTTACCCATTAAACCGACTAGCCCCGAGGGTAAGTTAACATACGTCAGGCAGATCCCAGAAGGAACTTCCCTGCGTGTAATACAATATAAATGATTGCTTTTCAATTGTGAAATAATCATACATACAAAAGAGAACATGAAATGTATATGTGCAATTTAACAAATTTTTGAAAAAGTAACACCAATGTGTCAACAACTCAGGTTAAACATTACCAGTACCTTGGAAGCCCCTGAAGTGCCCCTTCCCAATCTCTTGCCTCTCTATTCCCTCACTCCCCTGGCAATGAGACTTAACCCCTCTCTTGACTTTGGGGATATCATTCCTTTCTTTTTCTTAATAGTTTCACCTCTTATGTATACATTCCTAAAAATATATATATCTTGTTTAGTTTGCCTCCTTTTGGAATACATACAAAGGGAATCCAACGGTATGTATTTTTTTCTTTCTTACTTTTTTTTTTTGAGTCTTGCTTTGTCACCCAGGCTGGAGTGCAGTGGTACAATCTTAGCTCACTGCAACCTCCACCTCCCAGGTTCAAGTGATTCTCCTGCCTCAGCCTCCTGAGTAGCTGAGACTACAGGCACATGCCACCACGCCTGGCTAATTTTTTTTGTATGTTTAGTAGAGATGGGGGTTTCACCATGTTGGCCAGGCTGGTCTTGAACTCCTGACCTCAGGTGCTCCTCCTGCCTTGGCCTCTCAAAGTGCTGGGATTATAGGCAAGAGCCACTGCACCTGGTCCAACAGTTTGTATTTTTTTATGATTTATTTAGCTCAATACTATGTTTCTGAGATATATTCATGGAGATATAACTATAGTTAATTCATTTTTGTTGTTATATAATACCCCATTATATGAATATTCTGCAGTATTTTTTAAATATTTAGGTATTTAAACTTTATGTTAAAGATTATAATTTTAGCCGGGCGCAATGGCTCAAGCCTGTAATCCCAGCACTTTGGGAGGCCGAAGCGGGTGGATCATGAGGTCATGAGATCGAGACCATCCTGGTCAACATGGTGAAACCCCGTCTCTACTAAAAATACAAAAATGAGCTGGACATGGTGGCGCGTGCCTGTAGTCCCAGCTACTCAGGAGGCTGAGGCAGGAGAATTGCCTGAACTCAGGAGGCGGAGGTTGCGGTGAGCCGAGATCGCACCATTGCACTCCAGCCTGGGTAACAAGAGCGAAACTCCGTCTCAAAAAAAAAAAAAAAAAAAATTACAATTTTAAAAATAATTATAATTGTTTAAAATGTTATTTTAATTTTTTTAAATTTCAATAGCTTTTTGGAGTATTTTTGGTTCTGGTTACATGGATAAACTGTATAGTGGTGAAGTGTGGTGCACCCATCATATAAGTGTGCATTATACCCAATATGTATTTCTTTTTTTTGAGACAGTCTCACTCTGTCGCCCAGGCTGGAGTACAGTGATGCAATCTCGGCTCACTGCAATCTCTGCCTCCTGGGGTTCAAGCGATTCTCCTGCCTCAGCCTCCTGAGTAGCTGGGATTACAGGCATGACCCACCACGGCCAGCTAATTTTTATATTTTTAGTGGAGACAGGGTTTTGCCATGTTGTCCAGGCTGGTCTTGAACTCCTGACCTCAGGTGATCTGCCTGCCTCGGCCTCCCAAAGTACTAGGATTACAGGTGTGAGCCACCATGCCCAGCCCTAATATGTAGTGTTTTTCATTGTTTTTATCTTTTTTGAGATGGAGTTTCGCTCTTGTTGCCCAGGCTGGAGTCAATAGCACAATCTCGGCTCACCGCAACCTCTGCCTCCTGGGTTCAAGCACTTCTCTTGCCTTGGCCTCCTGAGTAGCTGGGATTACAGGAATGCACCACCACGCCCAGCTAATTTTGTGTTTTTAGTAGAGATGGGGGTTTCTCAATGTTGCCCAGGCTGGTCTCGAACTCCTGACCTCAGGTGATTCACCCGCCTCGGCCTCCCAATGTGCTGGGATTACAGGTGTGAGCCACCGTGCCCAGCCCCAACGTGTAGTTTTTTTAAAAACCCTTATCCCCCTCCCACTCTCCCACTATTCAGTCTATTTGAATGGATATCTGGATTGTTTGTAATTATTTGTCATTATGAACGACGCTACTGTGAACCTTCTTGGGCAAGTACACATGCTTTCTGGTGCACTCCTTCCTACCTTGCAAGTCCTTGTGTTTTAGGAATACTTTTCCCATTAGAGACAGAAGGAGCTTGCTCTCATCAGAGTATCCTGATACAGAGCCAGAGTTAGTTTGCTAGTGATTCCTATGGCTATTTGGGACCCATGCCAAATGAGCAGAGACTTGAGACAATTTAGAAACTTGTCATATAGTGGCTGGGGACAAAGAGACAAAAGGGGCTTCCTGTGTGTTGCCCCTCTCCTGGAGACTCACTCACCCTGCACAGTGCCCCAAGGATACTGTCGCGCCCTCATCATCTTGTTGCCTATCTTCAGTTCTTCTGTGCTGCCGATGACAGCGAAAGGCAGGTGGGCCTGAAACCGAAGGCAAACGAAAGCTGAGAACAGCAGAAGAAAGGCACTGAGCATTACACAACCCAACTGCTATTCATCGCTGGGGCCCCAGGCCCTCACCCTGCAATGTCCCCCACTATCATCATCACCAACACGCATTTATGAAGTTCCCAAACTGTGTGAGGATAAGAGGCCTAGTCCAAGCTTCTGCTGTTCAGAAATTCACAACAGAGGGTGACAATGACATGGTTGAATGCATTGGGAACAAAGAGAGAAAATAAGCAGAACAACAGGCCGATACACAGATTACCAAGCTATTCGCTCTTCACAGTTGCTGCTGAGGGGAAGAGCCTTTGGAAGATCAGGGAGTGGAAGGAGGGGAATTCTTTGTGGATGGAAAGAATAAAGGAGAACCAAAGGGTCTGGGATCATTGCCCCTTCACCCTCCCTGGAGTGCAAGAGCCCCAAGATTAGGTCTGTACTGAAAGCACACAGCCGACTGAGGTGTACTGTCCTTGCTCTCATCCTTCCCTGGAGCAAGAGCTCACACTCAACTCATGAGCCTAGAAAGAAAGTCACTAAGGATTTACTGACACGACCGTGCTGGATTCTGCTGTAGGTGCTGTAAAGCAGACAGAAGCAGCAGAAGACAAGCTCCCTTGCTCTCTAGGAGCTTACAGTGTTGTTGGGGAAGCCCAAATGACATACTTCAAGTCATATAAGATGGTATGTGATGGCCAGGCATGGTGGCTCACGCCTGTAATCCCAGCATTTTGGGAGGCTGAGACGGACAGATCACGAGGTCAGGAGGTCAAGACCATCCTGGCTAACATGGTGAAACCCTGGCTCTACTAAAAATACAAAAACTTAGGCAGCCATGGTGGCACATATCTGTAGTCCCAGCTACTTGGTAGGCTCAGGCAGGAAAATTGCTTGAACCCAGGAGGTGGAGGTTGCAGTGAGCTGAGATTGCACCATTGCACTCCAGCCTGGGCAACAGAGTGGGACTCTGCCACCAAAAAAAAAAAAAAAAAAAGGCCAGGCAAGGTGGCTCCTGTCTGTAATCCTAGCACTTTGGGAGGCCAAGGCAGGTGGATAACAAGGTCAAGAGATTGAGACCATCCTGGCCAACATGGTGAAACCCCGCTTCTACTAAAAAATACAAAAATTAGCTGGGTGTGGTGATGTATGCCTGTAGTCCCAGCTATTCGGGAGGCTGAGGCAGGAGAATCGTTTGAACCTGGGAGGCAGAGGTTACAGTGAGCTGAGATCATGCCACTGCACTCCAGCCTGACAACAGAGCGAGATTCCAACTCAAAAAAAAAAAAAAAAGTATGTGATCAATGGCTCAAGTACATGGTCTGGTGCCCTGTACATAGTAGATGCTTAATAAATACTTTCTGAATGGCAGTGGTAGGGCTAGGGAAAGAGGAAAGAAAGGCAAAGGACAAATAGGTTGTGAGCTTGGTGCTCACAGGGAACTGAGTAGGCGGGCCTGGCTTTATGGATCAGAGAAGAGAAAGCTGCTCCAACCTGGGGAGTGTGGGGTCTGGTAAACGCTCACAGAGCCCCAATCCACAAGGAGCTGGCCAGCGTGCCAATGCCGCGTCACCACAGCCAAATGGAACCAGGGAATCAATGTTCACCGACCAGGTGAGCCCAGGCAGGGCTTTGACTAAAAGGGCTTTACATCAACAGGTAACAAGCCTATGGAGAAAGCTTCGTAGCCTGCTTGCAGAAACGGGCCATAATCTCAGACATTTTGATCCACTTGCCCACTCATCCATTCTACGAATATGTACTGAGCTCCTACAATATATGCTAGGCATGAAGAATGATATAAAGGCAAAAAAGCACAGAGCCTGGCTCCGGAGAGTGCCCAGTGTGCCGAGGGAGAAAGCCATGCCAGCGACGATCATACAGCAAGATCAGGGTTGTAGCAGAAGTGGAGGAGGCAGTGAGCCAAGATTGCACCACTGCACCGCATCCTGGGCGACAGAGCAAGACCCTGTCTCAAAACAACAGCAACAACAAATCAGGGTTGAAAACAGAGGCTCAAGGGCTGGAGTAACACAGAGGAAAGAGAAATTAACTTCGTGGGAAGTCAAGTAAGTCGTTTCAGAGTAGGTAGTGGCAATCATACTTACAGCATTAGCATCAGCTATAATTTATTAAGCCCTATGCGCTGGGTGCCAGCAGCTTTAACATGGCATTGTCTCACTGAATCTCTACAACAACACTATATGGTAAGTTGCCTTATTATTATCCTCTTTAGATGGGGAAACTGAGGTGTGGAAGGGCTACGAGACTTGCCAGCAGGCACACAACAGTAAGGAACAGAATGAGGTATGGCATCCCAGTCTCTCTGACTTCAATGCCCACCCCTTGCTGGTCTGCTACTTCCATTTAGGGGGTTCAAGCAGTAGATGAGGTGCATACCCTAAACCCTGGGGGGAACTGGTTGTGCAAGACCAGATTATCAGGGGCAAAGCAATTCAGGGAAACCCACAGCAAGTCTGTTGCTTGTTTGTTTCATCCACGTGCTGATCTCACAGCCAGTCCTTCCTCTCCATTCTCCTCTAGCTCTGGACCCCAAAAATGTCCTTCAGAGCAGAAGAACACCAGATTTCATCAGGAGCTCAGCTTCAGGACTCCACCAATCCCTCAGATTGCATGGCCACCCACTGAAGCTGCCCTTCTTTCATCGTCTCCCCTCTCGGCTGCTATCAGATGATCGTCTCAGCCAGTCTCCGACCCCTCTCCACTCCACTGACTGTCCCTTAAATCTGGACATAGGAAAGTAGGAAAGAGGAGGTTATGGAAATGGAAGGTGGGTGTGGGGAGGAGATGGGAAATGTTTCATCAGTCCTGGGAGGGGAATGATCAGAAGGGCAACTGGGAAAGTGACGCACAGGCATTTAGGGAGCGCTGAATTACTGAATATGCTGCCCAAGGGCCTGAGCATCTCCAGTCTTTGCCAGGAGGGTTGATCTGGGCACAATTCATTCCCATTCAGGGACTGAGACATGTCAGGAGCTTTGAATCCACCGCTAAACATTTCCTGGGAAAACATTTCCCCTGCAGAGACCCCACAGCTTCAGCCGCATGACACAGAAGAGCCAAGGAGCGGTGAATGCAGAGAGCTAGACTGAGGGAGGAGGTGATAACGAAAAACCACACTGTAGCACTCCCTCTCCTCCTGGGCTCTCAGCTGTCAGTGACGGAGGAGGAAGGCATGTGAAGTGGGAGGTGCTTCTCTGAGCTCGAGAAAAAACACCCAAGAAGAAAACAAAGGCATACAAAAATGTCAGTATTCCCTCCGGTCTGTTCCATTTTTATCATCAAGAGTCACTGTCAGAATAATGGGGTGACTTGCTTCCCACTTTTCCTCAGACTGCTGTCATTTGATTCTTCTAGCTCAAAAACACAGCCCCAGCCCTCCCATGGCACACTCCTTTGCAGCTGGCCTGTCTGTTTTGGGAAGTACGTGCAAGGTAGGCATTTCCCAGTGCTCTCCTCTTGTTTGATTTTTCACAACATCCTTCTATGGCAATGATTATAAGACCCATTTGTGAGTTGGAGGAACTGGGATACAGAGGGGTTAAACTAGTTGCCTAGGTCCCTAACCCCCATGCCCGGATCTTCTGAAGCAGCAGCACCGAGGCCACCGAGCTTTGGCTGCCAACCTCTTCCAGCCACCTAGGGTGGCCCACACTCTGCCTCCTGGCTACATGGCATCTGCTGGAAGGAAGCAAACCATGACAAGCAGGAAATCATGAGGACCAGGCTCTGGCCCTCTGTTCCACTGCTTTTGAGAAACAGATGGTTATGACAAGCAGAATGAAGTTGAGCAGAGTAGACAGCAGATACCCACTCTCCCCCCGCAGCACCACTGACCATACTCCTAGGTCCTACCAATGAGATCCAAATCTGAGGCTGGGCTTTCTGCTATTTTTCCCAGGTCCCTGCAGGAAAGTGACAGACAGGGGTGGCATTTTCTATGTGTGGACCCAGGGCGGAGACTCTCATAGATGCAGGGGAGTGTTGCCGCTGAAACACACACAGGCATCTCAGAGGAGTGGGGAGTCCGTGTAACTGTCTCACTGGGATCTCCAATGAGGCGTCCTTGGATGTCAGATTTCCCAGTCTTAGAAAACTCCAACAACAGATAGTTTCAAGCCTCCCTTGGGAGTCCATTCCTGGATTCACTCTCTGTCTTAGTGCATTTTGTCTTGCTACAACAAACTACCTGAGACCGGGTAATTTATCAACGATAGAAATTTAACCCTCAGGTCGGGCGTGGTGGCTCACACCTGTAATCCCAGCATTTTGGGAGGTCGAGGCTGAAAAAAGATTTTTTTTTTTTTTTTTTTTTTTTTTTGAGACGGAGTTTCGCTCTTGTTACCCAGGCTGGAGTGCAATGGCGCAATCTCGGCTCACCACAACCTCCGCCTCCTGGGCTCAGGCAATTCTCCTGCCTCAGCCTCCTGAGTAGCTGGGATTACAGGCACGCACCACCATGCCCAGCTAATTTTTTGTATTTTTAGTAGAGACGGGGTTTCACCATGTTGACCAGGATGGTCTCGATCTCTTGACCTTGTGATCCACCTGCCTCGGCCTCCCAAAGTGCTGGGATTACGGGTGTGAGCCACCACACCTAGCCCAAGAAAAGAAATTTAATCTTCATAGTTCTGGAGGCTGGGAAGTCCAAGGTCAAGGCACCAGCATCTGGTCTGGTGAGGACCTTCTTGCTACATCTTCACACAGCAGCAGGACAAGCTGGCCTAACACTGCATGATGTCTCTTTAAAAAGGGCCTTCATCCCATTAACAAGGGAGGAGCTCTCATGCCCAATCACTTCTTAAAGGCCCCACCTCTTAATACTATCGCGCTGGCCACACCTGAATTTTGGAGGGGATACAATCAAACCATAGCACTACCTTTACTGACTTGTGTCTAGCTTAAATTCTTCTTGGTACATTGTAAAGTACTTAATAATCCCATTGGCATGAGTTATTTTA